TGTTTGTCGATGGCTTAGACCTCCGACCTGAAGTGCGGGATTAATACAACCCCTCTCTCTCTCTCTCTCTCTCCCTCAGATCAAAAACTTTTCTAATAATTTCTTTCTGATGAATTTCGTTTACATAGCAGAAGGGGACAATATTTAATGTGCTCCTTTAGGTTTATAAGCATCACAACAAATATATACAAATTATGATTAGTGGACAACCGATGCAATCTTCATATCCAGCGGGACAGGTACCATCGGTTAAAAAAATAAAACAATCCAGAACTGTGAAATCAAGTTGTTTCGGTTAATCTGTTAGAATACAAAAACATTGTATCAACTTACCCACAGGAATGAAACAAAAGGGATAAGTGAATTCTATCAAGGCGATTCCTAGCATGGGTGCATAAAACGATCTTCTTGAGTTCAGAACCTCTAAGTCGTTCGACTGGATATTGGCGCTGTCATCTGGCCAGAAAATTGCCTAGAAACCAGGCATCCTTCTGTGTGTGTGTGTGTTCTTTTTTTAAGAGTCTGCTTGGGGTTATGACTTTTAGTAGATGGGTGGAACGGGTTCACGGTTTGAGGTCTTACCAATTTCACGTCGATCCGTCGAAAGCCAATTTCTTAGGCCATTGCCTTCCCGTCGTCAAAGAAGCAATGGCCAAATGAAGCATGTGTGTGAGTGTATGTATGAATGTATGTGGTATGTGTGTGAGTGTGCGTGTGTTTCGGGGTCGAAGGGTGAGTTGCGAGTTGGTTTACCACATCACGTGAACCAAGCAAAAAAATTCTAGGCAATAAACAGAATATTTTAATTTTTATATAGTTTTTTTTTCAAATTTTTTGTTTTTTTTTTCTACCTACCCGTCGTTTACTTGGAATTTTGAAAAAATTTTGATTTTGTGGGCCGAAACTAGTAGTACTCCAGACGAGCTCTGGTGGCAAACTGAATGTGTTCCGTATGGGGTTCGGCTACATGACTTTGACAGTTCTCATAAACCAATTCCAAGGATAGTGTGATCTATAATTCCACGAGCCTTACTAGAAATATTTTATATAACAATGTTTCATAAATAATTTATATTTCACACTATTGTAACTTACTTATTTTTATAAATATTTTATATTACAAATATTTTAAATATTTTATTTTTCCCATCCCCAATTCAAAGTCTCAATAAGGATTAAGTAAATTGGTCCATAATACTAGTATTGCTTTATTTTCCAGACAATCAAATCATTTTATCAGATCAGCTTATTTCAGGACCAAGGACCAACTAAAGTGGGATCCTTAAATGGATTCAAGTCGCCGAGTTGTGGCACACGTGGCATGTCCTTCACCCGATTGTCCACTAATGCGAACTGCAAACGGATAACTGCGAGTATGAATTATGCACATTTACTTGCGATGTGTTCCGTTCCACTTTCAGATGCACAAGCCGGCTAACCAAGCATCTTGTCGTGCCCTTTGAACTCGTCGTCCCCTCTCTCTCGCACCCCCAACCATCCGTCTCTTTCATCCGCTGTCGCCCCATCTCGCTCTGATGTTATTCCGCTGTGCGTGTTTGCATTTTGTGCGTGGCGCTGAGCGCCTCCTTTGCGTCGTCCTCGCACAGATGAGGTCACAAAAAAAGGGCGGAGAATTGGGGCATTTTTACATTTTTTTTTAAGTTATTGCAAAAGTATATTTATTATATTTTTAAAAAGTAATTATTTGAATAATAAAGTAACAAAAGAAATTTGTATTTAAAATTAATTTATTTTATTTTATTTTTTATTCATTTTTCCTATAACTTTGAAAATGATTTTATTATCAACTAAGTTTCAAAAATTTGTAGCCCAAAAAAATGCTAGGAAATCATTTCAACTAAAACTAAATAATCTAAAAAAAAACCTTAAATTAAATTGTTTTGTTACTATATTTTTATTTCCATATAATTTTTTTATACTGCGAGCTATTGCCTTGACCAGCAATGTGTATCCGTAATCCATTTAATTCAACCAAGCGACCATGCCAGCTGTGCGTGTGTGTGTGTGCCTTTGGCATTATCAACTCATAAATATTTATTGAATTTTAAGAAATTTTCAAAAATGGCTACAGCAGTAGCCACACGAGGAGCAGCCAAGGAGCAGCAGGAACTCAATCTGCGGGGCAGCCGATGACTTGTTGTCCTGCCAGCGTATCCGTCATCGATTTCGATTGCCTCGCTCCGCTTCGCCGGCTTCTTAGTCATTCCCCCCGGTGGTTACCCGGTTTTCCTCGCTTTTCCCTGCCTCTTACCCCCCGGAAAACATCGTAGCCTCGGATCCTGACCCCAAGTTCGGTCGCCACATCCTTTTGCATTCTCTTATTTGGATTATAATTTTTTCCATTTCACATGTGAGTGCATTCCTCCTTGGTGGTCATCACACACATCCTCGCCAGTCGCTTGGTCACTTGTCAATTTCCATTTTCATTTCGTCGCTGGAAGATGCCGGCGTGGACCCCGAATCGCGTAATCTCAGCTGAAAAGTGGCGAAAGGGATTGGGGGATGGTCGACTTGGAGTGGACGAGTTAGACAAGGCCATCGATTCGAGGGGCTAATGGAATTCGATTCAAGTTTAAACAAATTGAAATACAAATCAATACGTTGAGAAATGGCTGAGCAAAGACCCTATTTTGTATAAGAAGGTGTAGGTAATTATGGCCACATTTTTGCAGATTTTGAAAAGTGTAAATGCCATTTATTTGTGTTTATAAATACCTATCGAAATGTAAAAGAAAATTTTAAAATCGGATCACTCATCAAAAATTTACGAGCAAATACGGAATTTTTCGCTGGATGGCGCCATTTTTAAGCAACTGATTTTGCATGCATGTCTCAATCTCTATCACACTCATTTAGCTAGGTAATGGGTATTTGATAGTCGAGGTTCTCGACTATAGCGGACTCTCTTGTTTTAAAATATATGGAACAGCTTGCTATAGATTTTTTATTAGAAATTAGTTGCTAAAAGTAATTAATTAATTGTGATTATTTTACGGAATAAAAAATTATGATACAAGCCAAAAAAAATCGTTGCTTTTTAAAAAAAAATTTACCTTAGCCTTTGTACATTTTTGATATAGTACATTTTTCTTAACTTTGAAAATTCCCTCTTCGGCTTCCCATTTTTCCTTTCCCAAATGGGAGCGATTAATTGATTTTGGGACAGGAAGCTTTCGATCGATTCGAATTTCGAAGCCCAGTTTACAGTTTGCAGTTATCGTCCATTTTGGAGCATAATTCAGTTTGATATTCTTTGACTTGATTTCGCAGGAACTCAATCATTTCCATTTGCCAGCATGGACGAGTTGAGAGGTCGCAAGCAAATGCAATTTGGAAGCGGTGCATCTGGGAGTCATCGGTTACAGAGGGCTCACCTGTGACTCCTTAACCCCCTTAAGCCCCCCTCAGTGGGGGCCACCCTTAACCCCTCGATGATTGGACAGAGTGTCCTGGTCAAGCGGAGCTTTTCCAATTTTAATCGCATTAAATAGTCACTTAAGCGCCATCGCCCATTTCCCACCCCTTTTCGCCCCCCCTTTCGACCATTTGGAAGCACTGAGATTCAAAAACACCCAATTTCCCCCTCTGTTCGCCGATGCAAAATTAACTTGTTGATGTGGCAACGACGACGAAGCCGAAACAACTGACAGGACAAGAGGTAAACGTGAAAATCGGGTGTCGAAAGGGGTTTCAAGGGGTGTGGAATGGGAAAATCGGTAGGGGGCTCATTTACCGCCGCGTTGCCACGTTCAATGCTAGTTTGAAAATCGCTTCGTGTTCGAATCTTATTAGTGGTTTATAATTACAATTGTATACAGACCAATTACGTTACGAGATGAGTAACCGAAGGGAAGTGGAAGTGGAAGTGGATGGGTGGAAGGGAGTGGCTCATCAGGTGTGTGTATCTGTGTGGCTAATTAACCACCATCACAACTGGCCGTTAAGTGCCTGTGTGTGCACTCGAAAAATGCATACCTGTGCAAAGCAAAAAGCCCTATTAAATTTTATTTTAAAAAATTGTATATTTCAAAAATGGCTGTAATATAGTTTTATATTTATAATCATAGTTTTAGAACACTTTTTGACTATAAAATGAATTGTTAAAGTTAATAGTTAGAACATAGGTTTTCTTATTTAGGTAGAGCTAAATACAGACCTAATAATAAAACCGAAATTCGAAAATAATATTAGTAAACATATGGTCCCGAAATATTAATTATTGTTTGAGCATATTGTTAATATTGTTTTAAAATTCAAATACTTTGTAAATAATTTTTTATTAAAGTTTTAGAAAAATTGTAGCTTTCTTACTAACTTAATGATATACAAATTATTATTACTATTTTTTTCGAGTGCAAACCTGAGTGTGTGTGTTTAACTAGCAAGTCCAAGTATCCCGATAATGATGTTCATTTCGTAAGCAAATGTCATAACACAAACCACCCAGCAACCCACTCGCACATTTATGTAAATAGCGACTGAAATTTATGCATATGTATTTGTGCAGCTCAGAAGACAAAGAGCAAAGCCCCCAGAAGCCTTAGCCCACAGAACCCAAACCCAAACCCAAACCCACCCCACATCCCCTCCTCGAGTGTCCAAGTGCGCATATGCCTTGTAATTGAATCCACGTCTGAAATCTGTCTGTGGTCGATAATTTCATTTGGGGCTCCATTTTGAATACAAATTTATCGGCTAGCAACTCCGTGACACGTTCCAAGAAACCACATCACGATATGCCGATATTCGGCCGCCCCCTTGATGGAGATTGAAATATTTGCCATTTCTGAGCACTATTCTCAGACGGGCGCTACTAATTGGAATAGTTGGTTGTGGCAAGTATGTATGGCCATGTAGCGCGCGACTTGATGGATAATGTGTGCGGTATCAGAATTTTGAACCCAATATCTGAAATAAAGTTCCACTATTCTCCCAACCAATTTTATTTTTGTAAATTCTCAATTCAAAATGCCATCTTCTTGGATTAACATATAAGCATGTAGTTATTTATTATAGTCATTCGTTTTTTCAAGATTACATATTGGAAATCCGATGCGAGCTGCTCGTCCAACGGGACCGGTACCATCGGCTTTCCAAGTCGTTTTCGGAACTGACCCAATGGGCAGTACGGCAGGAAGGGTGAGTCATTGAGCCTTTAGTTCATTCATCTGTAGTTATTTTCATTATTGTTTACCAAGGGATATTTGACTAAGAACAACTCACCAATTGTTTAGCTAGAGAGCCATTGCATTCCCGTCGTTAAAGAATGCAATGACCGAGTGTAGAGTGTAGAGTTGAGATTGTTTCCATTTTACCACATTTGTTTGTTACCAAAGAAATTCTAAGGGAGAAAATTATTGTGTTACTTTTTTCGTTACTTTTTGTGTCACTTTTATTGCATGTTTTTTTTGTTACTTTTTTTTGCATATTTTTTTGTTACTTTTTTTGTATGTTTTTTCTGAGTAAATTTCTAGCTTACCCGTCGAACAAAAAATTTAGAAATATTTTTTTCAGGCTTAGTTCCGAGAGGAGGTGTGCTCCCAACGAGCTCGGGTGGCACACTGAATGTATTCCGGGTTGGGCCGGGCTACAAGGTCTTGACAGCTCCGTTTGTTCGATGACATTAGATCCAGGGGTATTGTGATCTATAATTCTCGAATCTCTATCATTTTCATCGCAGTTGGCCATGCTCCAGGTTAAGAAACAGAAATAGATGGAATCTGTACAAGATCTATTGTCTCAAGATCTCAACCCCATCGCAGTGGGCCATGCTGAACTACAGAAACACATAGAATCCTTTCAAGATAGCAAAAAAAATCAGAATATTGATATTAATCAAATAAAATCAGAGAAAAGTAGAGCTAAAAATCGAAATAAACAATTGGGATTTCGTATAGTCGGTATAGAATGGCTAGTATTACGTTCAAGAATCGACCCACCCAGGTGCTGCACACCTACCAAGTCTGGCGCATCGGCAGCAATGTGAACGACAAGAGTCTGGACTACTGTCTTGCGGACAAGGTGAGTTCTGATCGTCCAACTTCCCAGGCAAAATTCTAAAAAATCCCCTTTAGTCGGTGGACAAGTTCCATGCCAGCTTGACCCGCGGCGAGAAGGGTTTGTTTCTGGTCAACGAGAGTCGCCATGGAAGTGTGGCCGTGAATGGCGAGCGGGTTGGCGGTCCCGTGCTGATCACCTATCGCGATGCCATCAATGGCATTGTCAAGCTCCGTTTTGGCCGGGTCGAGGGATATCTGCGCGTATCGGGAAGCATTACTGGCTAACCCAGCATCCTAGTCTCTCTTTGGATATATGGGTTTTTTAAATCGTTCGTTTTTTTGTACCTAAACGTGCATTTTCATAAATACAAAAAAAAGATAAATTGATAAAATGCAATTTCGACTCTATGATTTAGCAGCTCTTTTTGGTTTTCTCATTTTTGCCATCCAAGCTATGATCATTTATGAAATATTGTCTCTAAAAATGATAAAATCATTATGACTCAAGTTGCTTAAGATTATAGATGCTCCCAGATCTAATCTATATCGGCTGTTCTTTTGATACCGATCAAGTATATATAAAATGTAGTTTTAAAAAGATTCTTTATTTTAATTTTCAATTTATTTTAACAGGCTTAATACAATTTGCAAAATAAATGTAAGAAAAATCTGTAAAAGCAACTGTTTTCACAAAAATAATAAAGATTTAATTTAGTTTACTTTTTATACGGTAAATAGAATTTCCAATTGCAAAATTTAAAAAAAATCGTTTTTATAACTCTGAGTTTCAGAATCATTTCCAACTGCCATAAAACAGCCATAAACTTTATGTTTTCCTGTGCGCCTGCGTGTTATTTTGCCAAGAGAAAGAATAAGGGAAAAACAGCGAAAGAGAGTTCGGAAAATGGAAATTGATTGTCGGGGTTACATGAAATTGACGCTAATCAAATGGCCCTGTGATTTGCGGCAGGCATCTCTTATACGCGCAGGTTGGTGTCCCAGCTAAAAGGATTTTCTATAAACAAGCTATACAATATTTAAAATAAAATGTAATAAATAAATAGGCAAATTATTTGAAAAATAAATTTTAAATATTAAACTTTATATAGGGTATAAAAGAACTCATTAGATATTTTTTGGTAAAATATTTGAAATTTTCTCTTTAGTGGCAATGAAAACTGTTATACTTAAGCTAAGAGCGTACAAAAGAGAGTTACCTTCTCCCTTATTTACTGGCTCTCTTTCACTCTCTCTGCCTCTCTGTTATCCTTGCTCTCTTAAGGCAGAGCGATAGACTGTTATTTTAGCAGCCCTCCGCTCAGCATTACATAACTGTCATGTGAATCCTGGCTAACAGTCGGTGGATAGCCGAAGGATAACCAATTATCGACAAGGAGGCGAATTTATGGCCATTCCAGGACGTTTGTTTCCCCAGCGGCAACAACTTCACTTTTTGATTGAACCAAAAAATGAAAAAGAAACATCGAACATGGCCTTATTATCCTGGAACAAGGAAAATACAAATTACAAAAAAGTGGGTGGAGTGAAACAAATGATATATAACTTGTTGAATCTGCCAGCAGCTTTTCCTGCAGGCAAATTTCACTGGGAAATGGGAAATTCAATATCTTTACTTGGGGCTGAGCGCCTAAAAAGCAGACATAATTAGTTTATGCCGAGATTTTTGCGTCTCTTATGGCGCGACACTTGGCAACGTCGCCCGGAAAAAGGAGCCGGAGCAAGGACATCTCATTTGCCCCATCTAAATGCATTAAAGTTCGGGGCAAAGTGCACCGTACGGCCCTAGGTCCTTTGACCTACTCTTATTATTAGACCAGAAATTAGGGCTTCAGGTTTTACGGGGGGAAATTCATTTTGAATTGAATATACCCTAGATAATACGCTAAGCTGGTATTTCGCCTTTAAATACATATCTTTACATTACAAGTCCCCTAAAATACTCCCAAATTACTTTATTTTTTCTGAAAATATTTCCCTTAAACAAAAGGATAGTTTAAAATTAATAATAAAAAAATTTACTATTTTTAAAGGCTTAGTTTTCTTTTTTTTCTAAGCAACTAATTTTTTTAAATATCCCAGAAGACTTAAAAAAAATATTGTTATTTTTATGGAAATAATTTTTGTAATATATTAACTCCTTTACCTCCTTAAATAAATTAGTTTTACGTAAATAAATAGAACAGAGAAATATAAAAATACTAGGAAAACTTTTAACGTTTATTGGAATTTGGTATTAGCATTGTATAATTCCTGAAGACCTCATTTCTTGAGGGATTTGCGTTGTTTATTTATCTACCGATGTTTTGGGGCCATCGCCTGAAATCGTTATCAAATGGCCGACTCTCTGTTGCTTCTCACATCCCCCATTTTCTTTTGTGCCCCTCTTAAGTCGTCGTTCTTTGTTTGTGTAGGTTGAAAAATCAAAATTTTACACTCGGCTACACATTTCCAAAGGCTACCGAAAGTTATGACTAGATGGCAGCAGGGGAACAGGGACTACTTAGGCCATACATGCAAAAGTATATGTACACTGCGAAAAAGTAAGTTAATTTGCGATTATATCAAAGGTTTATATTTAAAAAAAATACAAAAATACCTTTGTAAAATTTAAACGTATAACTTAATTTAGAAATGTCCTTGCAATGCATCGTTTGCTTTCATTATATTTATGGATGTGCGGCCAGAAAATATTTAAAACACTCCTATTTTTGTTTCCAGTGTATATTTTGGTATTTGGTTATGTTCTTGTGTCTGTGTGCCTAAGTGCGTGTTTATGGCGCAATAAAACAGACCCTAACAGGCTCACACACAAAGCGCAGGGAGGGCGACTTTCCAACCTGGAGGGGGATGGGGGATGGGGATGCCATGGGTATGGGTGGCTCGGATGGGGGTTGGCCTGGAAGCTGGAGGCTGCAGGCCGGAGAGCATAGACATAAAGCAATCGCGTTGACTGCTCTTGCTGTTGCATGTTGCCGGAGCCAAATGAAGCAGCCAAAGCGAAACCCAAAAAACCAAAAACTCAGACACAGACGCAGGCCAAGGAACCAGAACACTGACAAAAAATATGGACGAATTTTTAAAATTGTTAAAGAAATATATACACACGTACATGATCAACATACATAAATATAAAAAAAATTATTTCTTCCACATATTAAACAAAATATTTATTCTAATACTTTTATATAAAGATTGTTCTTAACGATTTCTAAACCAAACACGAATTGAATTAAATATTTATAAGTCATTTAAATATTTTAATAATTTAAATAATGAAATTCTGTTAAAACGGATAATATTAAAATTTGAAAAGTTTCAACTAGTGTATTTCAATAAAAACCTAATAAATATTTTCAAAATTTTCCATTAAGGTAAGCAATTTGTTTGGTTAATTGATTTCTGGAAACTGAATTAATTATTTTTCAGTGCCTCCCAGCCAGACGAATTGCTGGCCAAAAAGAGCAAGCCAGAAAAGGAGAAAGGCGGAAAGGGGCTAAGGGGTGGTAAGAGGGGAAAGGAGAAAGAGGGAAAGAGCCGGAGACAGTTGGAGAGAGACAGTCAGCCAGCATCTTTCCGCTTGTCTGCGGCGCATTTATGACTTTCCCACTGGGGCGCTTGGCTTGCATAGCATAGCCTGCATATAGGCGCACATAGACATATGTCTTATCACAGACACACAGATGCCCCGTCCCCGGCCCCGCACACAGATACTCACACAGATGCACACACCAACACACAGACACACTCACATGGCTGGCTGCTGTCAAATGCCATACTAAACCGATAATCCAATCATAAGTTATAGTCAAATGAGTTTGCTCTTCAATAAATTTTCGCCTCTTTTTTCCCCTTGATGTCTTCTTCATGGCCAAAATGAGTTTGCCTCTTGCCTCTTTGCTGGCAGAGGAGACCTGGAGAGTCCTGGAGTCCTGGCTGCTGTTGCCAAAAATACTTTGTCTCGAGGAGCATCATCATTTGAGACGCTTCCACACGAACGCAGAAACCAATTAGGGACCTCAGACCCCAACAAAGAAAAATACTAGGGGTGCGGAGAAATGGCTGATCGGTCTTACAGGTTATTGGTCTTTAGAATGTTTTCTCGATCGAATAACCGTTTAGATTGATACTAAATACCTTATAAGCTCAACTTGGAATACGAATATTTTATTTTTAATGACAGTATCTAGAAGTATGCAAAAATAACATGACATTCAAATTTTTACTGCATACTTTTATATACATTTATAAATCATTTCAAACCTGTAGTAATTGCTTTGGCACATCATAAAGATAATAAACTTAAAATATTTTTGGGTTGATACCAAATATAAACCATGCCTTAAAAAATACCACATTTTTATGTTAGTTTTTTTCTACATATTTAATGTTTTTGTGAATTAATTTGCTTGAGTGAAGTGTTCACAAGCCAAAGTTTACCTGGAAATCTAAAATTTGTTTGAAAAACACTAATGATCTTAAATGATGTTCAAGTCTAGGCCACTTTTTGTACATAATTGGCCATCTTTTCAACCTGGGCCCTTTGTGCGAGTGGCTGGATTTTTATTGAAAAAGGGCAATAAGCCCATGGTCAAAGAAATATCCTGGCATACAGGACGTGCATATGCCGCGGATTGTTGCCTTTGTCATTGCCATTCACAAGGATGTCCTTGCCCCCCTTCATATCCCAGTTTTCCGCCGGATTTTCCCCCGCTCTTTTTTCTCATTTCTTGCTTTCAGGGACTGCTGTTCCAGCTACGTCGTTGGCTTTTATGCGTATGTGTAACAACTATTAGAAAGGAGTAGCAAACAGAATGGAACAGGAGCAACAGGAGGACCTTCCTCGTTCCGCGCCACGCGCGTCCTTTCGCTCATTCTTTGGCTCTTTCTGAAACATTTTTGGCCTCGCCCTCTGGTGCACTGAAATATAATTGGGGGATAAATAAATTAATTATTGGCCCAACGAATTTTGAATATAGTTTATAAATAAATAGGTAGTTTGTGAAAAAATTAATGGGATTTTCAGTTTGAAAGTTTAATTTTGCATGATTTTCATCACATTGAACAAACTCTTTTTTTTAATCCAACAGATTTCTCTGGCAACATGTACAATTTATTAATTAGTTTAACATTTGTGTGGCCCTTAAATCAACCAGAATGCTTAAAAATGAAATAAAACATTCTTGAATGGTTCAAAATTATTTGCATACTTTTAGGTGCATTATAAAATGTTTTGAAAATCACTCTGCTGCAATTCTGATTCTTTTTCACTGTGTGGCAAACGTTTATGATGTCCTGCAATTGTCCTTTTTTCGCATGTGTGGTATGTGTGTGTACATGTATATGTGGCCCAGTATGTGCGTGTCCTGTTCTTTTGTT